TACTGTGGCAGCCACAGCAGCCTTACTGTATATCCCATGTGAGTGAGCGTGGTGGGAAAAGTCATTACGTTTGAACCGGCAACAGTTTTTTGGTAAATGTGGCCATTTCTCTGTAAACAGAAGTCAGGCTTTTTTAAAACATTTTTTTTATTATTATTTTAACATAATTTAGCTATCCTTGGCTAATAATTAATATTTTTTGTCTATTATTATTTTGTTATTTTTACCTATAGTATTGCCTAATTCCAATCAGAGTTAAAGCTAAATATTCAGCTATTTTCTTCATGTTTTTGTTAACGTGTTTCTTTTGTTATTTGTTAACAAACTTGCCACATTGAAGGATCTATGGCGGCTTTGCTGGCTTTTAAACAACAACAACAACAACAACAACAAAATATTTTTTAACATTTGTCCTTATTTGATTTGGCCAAACCTGCTAAGCTAAAGGTCTCACCTTCTTTCGAGCGTAAGTCGACGTGAAAACCTTTTACATGATTGCTGTCAGGTGGCAAGCAATGATTTGTAATTAATTGGATTATTTCTGCACCACTTCTTTGAGCGGCTCTGTTCTCTGGCCCATTCATTGTCCCTTCATGTGATAGTGTGAAAACACATATGAATAAATGTATACCCTCTGATACAGCCATCCAGAGTGCATGTAAACACTGACAGTTTTTTCTGCGTGCTCATCTAATGGGACCAAATTATCGCACGCTCTTTGATGCCTTTCTTTCCAGTTAACCCACTTTCTCTCATTTCCCTTTCAAAAGCGCAAACATGGATTTTTCCCATTTAAATAACAGAGCAGCTCATTAAATCAGCCTGTCATAAGTGTTTCTGGGTCCTTTTTTTTTTTTTTTTTTTCCTGCCGCTGTTGTTCTTCAACCGTATCTCTGTTTTGAGTTCAAGGACTGGGAGAGATAAAGTGATGTTGACAACATGAGACACAGTCCCCCCCGTGGTTTCACTCTTTGTCTCCAGCTGTGGAGCCTCATGCAGCCGGTAGTCAGCTGAAAGGTGATGAGTGAGGGCGACGTCAGATGTCAGCCCTGGGTGATAAATGTAAGGGGCATGTGATAAGATGTAAAGGTGTTTCCATGGTAAGCGGGAACTGTGCTCCATAACACAGGCCTATTATCACAGAGACTTTCCGTCTGCTGCAGCACTGGGGTGTTGGTGTACAGACATTACCATGGGGATGAATGAGATCAGCGGATCTGAAATGATCAAACTTGGGACCTAACTGAGTCCGTGGCGTGGGATCCAGGCTTTTAGGCTATGTATTATATATAACAAAAACATATATTTTTTATAGCAGTACAATAAGATATTAAAGTGCATTTTACACAGTAAACAGATGCCATTATTTAAAAAAGAAAGTGTTGGATTTTAATTACTGCAGCATGTAATGACATGCCTGGCTAAAACATCTTAAAACCTTTGTCAACTGTCATTATCACATCTGACTCATCTGTCTCATGTCTTATGAAAGCCCTGCCAAATCCTGCAACACTTTAGCTATTGTCGTTGTAGCACAGTAATACTTCATAGGTGAAAGCAGTTTGAAGTATTTTTCCACGGACTTTGAAAAATCCTGTACAAGCACTATGATCTAATCCCACTTTTAGATCAAGAGCCACGGCTTGAGAAACACCAAACTAGTGATGTCTTTATGAACTAGAGGCCTGAGGCCATATGGTACCTTGGATTCCTCATCTAAACCTCCCCCCCCCAACTCTCCCCTCCTGGTCTACATTATCCAGTATGTCAGGGAGGAAATGTGCCAAAGCGTGAAAACAGCTACAACATCCATGCTGGGTTCTCTACAAAGCAGGATGAGGAGGACGGAGGAGGAAGGGGAGGGGGGGTGAGTGTGTGTATTATGCATGGTCTCCTACACGGCCCCTGAGATCAACATACATGTAAACGTGTGGGTTAAACGTGAAATATATATATATGTAATGACCGTGCAGGTCAGCAGGTTTAATGCAGGTTTGTTTACGAAAGGACACGGCGGAAGTACATGTAGTGATTTGCTTAATGAAGCACTATACACAAACACACATACACACACACACTTTGTTTCTACCCGGGCTGTTGTGTCTTTCCGAAGCTGATCTGACTCCAGATTTTCCTCGTGTGGTAAATATAGCAGCCAACTGCCTCCGTAAGCACTTTTCAGAGAGATAAGACTGCGCCTCACTTTAAATCATTCTTCCACATAATTACTAAATCAATTCAGTTAAAGCTTCCACTCCTGACAAAGGGATACTGTAAGTCTTCTTATCTACTGGACGTCCCCTCTATCATCCTTTAAGTGCCGTGTGTCAGAAGATCACCGCAGGAGAAAGACTCTTTGTCTCTTCTTCTTCTTTCTTTTACTAACACCTCAAAGTACAGTTTCTCTAAGTAAGGTTTCTCTAGCTTCTTTGCTGCTTAACGCTATCGCTGGGAAACACGTATATGTATTTGCGTTGCGGGAGATTCGTGTAAATGCAAGATGGCGGCCTACGTAAGCGCTGCACCAATTTCAAGTACCATCACGGCCAGAAGGCACACAGCATGGATCAGCAGCAGAGACGTTAGAGTGATGCAAACGTTTCGGCGGAGTTGACCATGATTCCTTTGGGGCTCGGAATGTTTCGTCGGCTGCTGATGTGTTCTGCAAAAACGTAACGAAAGCCATATGGTGTCAGGGTTGGTTACTGCTGTTGCCTTAGATTTGGGATGCATTGATATTGGGACCGATACTTCTATCAAGTACTGTACTGATACTTGAAAACCCAAACCTAATACTCCATAAGAGCTTTTCACTTTGACCAGCTGCACACCGATGAGTCTGTGTTTTTGTGTTTTTCTACTGCAGTTCAGTATCGCATTGTCGTCACCGGTGGTTTATTTAAGTAGGTCAACAATGTCTGCAGTCTGGGGATATTTTTGACACCAGGGAAAAAGACAGGAGAAACACTACACTGTGAGATTTCTGCTGTTAGAAAATAGCAAATTTTAGCAGCGACATATTGCAGCATTTTCTAATGGCTCTTCTCAGTCCAACAGCACCTCCACTGGTGAGAGTATCTCGACATCAGTGTGTGTGCGTTGATTGGTTTAGTTGAAACATGAACAGGGCTACTCAAGTGAAAGTTATATTTTTTTTTTTATCAATTTAAATGTGCCTTTGGTGTTAAAGCTCTGCTCACTTTCTGATTAGTTGGCTGTGAAAATTGTTTCTAGGCTATTTCTATTATTATTTGTATTTATTTTTCGTGAACATTCCATTCACTAAGTTCAAAACAAAGAGTCTCTCTGTCGCACAGTTAATGCTTTGTCTAATCCTATGCAGGTTTTCTTGGAGGCTGACAGAAGGCCATTGCCCGGCGCGTTGTTTGTCCCCTCAGAGTGGCACAATATTTACACTGACACAATCAATTTGCTGCGCTGCAATGTGATTATGAAGGAATGTGCTTGTGGCTAGATAAAGCTGTCCTCACTCGCTGCTCCCCAAGATGACTTTTCCTGCCACAGCCTACTCCCGTATTCATGCTGCGTCCATGTCTAATGCAATCACGGCATGACTAAACATCAGCCCTGTGCCAAGTACGCAGTGGAGTGATCACAGGTGCTACAGGCTTCGACATTCATACACAGGGTTTGTAATGTGATGAAGGTGCTTCAAGGAGACGGATGATTAACCAGCTTTGGGAACGCTACCGAGCCGACTTGTGGGAACGTTTCAGTGTTGGTTGCTGAGGTTCTTTGTGGAGAGATGATAAAATATTTAGAGGTACAATAATAAGAGAGTGAGTCATTACTTTCTCCAATCTTTTTTTTTCTCTCTGACTCATAATTCAAAGATGAGTTTGGATTACATTTTCTGGAGCTGGTGTTTATGGTCCCGGAAACACTTTATTCGATTTAAGTGGCAATAGAATTTATATTGAGGGTGAGATTTAACCGTTAAATTGAGCAACAGCGGCAGCGGTACTGCAAAACAGTCATTAATTAATTTTAATTAGAGATGACATTCGGGTCCTTGTGTTCACAACACATGGCTTGACTGCGTTGTTTTCTTTTTAGAAGATGTCGTGTGTTTTCCAGAACTCTAACTATCCAGAACTTATTAATAATTATTAATATCTATAACTGATACCTTCAGATATCTGGTATGTCATTCTTTTTTTTAAGATAAATATTTTTCTTAGGGTGAATTGTCACTGTCATAGTTAATGGAGGATAAATCTTACAATCTTACCTAATAATTCCATATAGTAAATCAATGTTCAGATAACAGATTTTTTTAAAATTAATTTACTTATAATAATTCACTATTTGCTGTTTGCTCTTTGGCATCTCCTGCAGGTGGTGCTATAAATACAGCTTCTGATTTGATTGATGTTCTTTCAATTTTATATCAGTCTAATCCTCTTAACACGGCGTTCTCTTCCGTTTTTGTCCCCATCCGGAGATGGTTTTTTTTCTTCTTCTTTTTTTTTAACTTTTACGTTTCGCATAGACGATTAACAATTTTTTGTTTAATCCAGGTTACTTGTTACTTTCCTTACTGTACACTGTTATGATAAATATCCAATATTTTTTATAACCATATTAGGTCTCGGCTGTAGTTTGTATCCACTGAAAGACATAAAGCTACCAAGAGCTTAAACACAGCACAAAAGACTTATGGTCTGAATCTTTCGGGGGTTATTACCCTGTGCAGTAGACTTGTTCTTGAAGGATTTGGATGTAAGTGTTAGTCACTGAGAACTCTTTTGTCTCTTGATGGCCTTTAGCAGCCGCTGGCTGTACAAGTGGCTCTGGATCTCTCTCTCTCTCTCGCTCTCTCTCTCTTGCTTTTCTGCCACTCGGCCCTGGCCCTCTTCTTTATGACTAACTCATTACACCAGCATCAAAGTTTAATGACAAAATAGCCTAGTGCTCATGAAAGCTCTTATGCGCCGCTCGGGGGCTGCAATGTCTAAATTAATGGGACAAAATAAGGCCGCGTCCAGATATGAGGGAAATGTGACACTTGGCTCTGATGTAGAGGAGGAGATGAGGAAGGCAGAAAGGAAGAAATAATTACCACCAAATAGAAGAATCCCCTGAGCTGAGATTACACTGGTGAGCTTCACTCTTAATTTGACAGATCTGTAATTAATCCTTACTTCTGTCCCATGCTGCACTTTGTTTCTCATTCTTTCTATTTCTGTAATTAAGCGGAAACCATTCATCTCTCCCCCCCACCCCCTCAGTTTCAATGCTTCAGAAGTGATAGCATGCTGCTGTAAAAACTACTCCCAGGGCAAACAATCAGCATATATTTCTTCTACATTTTCCTGCATACTTCCTGCCTCACAGCAAACGCCTTAATGGGAACACACATTACTGTCGTGTTGTTGTGGCTGTAAATGGCGCCCGTGTTTCTCTCTCTCTCTCTGACCAGCTCTTCATTTGTCAGTTACATTTGCAGCTGCAGCGAACAACAACAGCTGCTATCAAATCAAATTTACTGCATGGCGTTGTAAAACAATGTCCCATTAGAGGCTTTAGAGGCCAACGTTTAGGGAGGTTCCCGGGCTGCAATGACCCAACAAAGTCCAAGGGGGGAAAAAGGGAAACGGCTGAACTCATTCGGTGTTGGATCCATGTGTAATATTTGGAGTATGTGTGTCACACCACGATCAGTGTGAGTGGAAGCTCGTATTATAATGGGTTGTGGTTCATTGCTAAGTGGTGAGTCATGGTAATGCCTTCAGAATAGTGGCCTGGCCCACCGCCCCCGTCTTCTCACTCTGAGCTTCAGCTAACTCACTCCCCCTACTGGCTAAAAGAGTGCATGAATCAATTTACAATTGCAAAAACAAATCGCACACACACACACACACATACATCAATACCCCAAGTATACTGTGGTGTGTGTCTAATGAATTACTTTCCTGGTACTATTGGATTCTTTTAATTGTAGCATTAATTCTTTGTTTCTATTTTATATATTTAAAGTTAACATTTTCCCTCAGGGGATCAATACAGTAATTTCTGATTCTAATAGAATACAAAACCCCCTCCCCCCTTTTTTAAACATTTATTTTGGAGGTATCCAAAGCAAATGTAAAGCACTCTGTGTGAACAGTTGAACTGCAGTCTTTACAATACTGTGCATTGTGGAACGACGATTGCTACTCGCTCTGTTCATCTATGGCATTTGAATAACTGCTCCTGAATCAATAGTAAAATGCCATCTGAA